ATACGAACAAATAACCCTCGATCGCCAGAGATACTCAAGCCGGCGGGCACAAAGGACCAGGGTTGATGTTTAGGGAAGGTATCCGGTGAGTAGTTCCCATCAGAATGAGTGAAAAGAGCTTGATCAGCTTTCAGGGGTGGAGGATGCTGGTGGGGGGAAAGCGATTACTTCACTTCCAGACCTTCAGAAAAAAGCGCTGGTAGCGGACTGGGTGAACGAGAGCCTGTCCCAGAACTGGGTTGTCCAAGAAACCTGCCTGAGTGGCGACAAGAACAGGAGATGGTTAGAGATTTTTCGAAAGGATAACAGCAGATATGCGACTAATTTGAGGTGTAGATCAAAACAAAGTGATAGATGGTCACCCGTCGGAGAGAGCACTTGTTCGAGACAGGTCTGTCTTCGACGCTGTGCTCTGTATACGGGTGAGAGAGGACGACAGTGAAATTGTAGGGGAATCCTACAGAGAGAACAAGAGATGGACGAGATGATGGAGAGAAGAGTGGGAGGGTGGTAGAAGGAGAAGAGGAAGGAAGTGGAAGAAGAGAGGATAGAAGTGAGAGGGAGGGAGGGCACGCAGTGAATGACGAGTAACAGAACGTGCCAGAATGAGTGTCAACAACAAGCACCCGCCTTCAGTCTTCTTTCTTGCCTGTCAATTACCTTTCACTGTGGAGGTCGGGTTCCGTTAGATTTCTACAGCAGAGGACTTACACAAGGAGATGCAAATCCCACTGAGGCATGAGCCTACCTAGGCAGCATCACCTGGTAATGAATACCTCATAAAGTTCAAGCTCATCGCCTAACGTTTGAAAAAAGATCACCTACCTGGACCACTACACCCTCTACCATAAAAGTTGAAGATCTTTGATACAGGAAGATAGAATACCAAGCTACAAAGGAACCAACTTCAACAAGTTATACCTACATAGACAACGACACAACAAGCTACATCCAAACTTCCTCTAATCCATTCAGAGATATTTACCATTATCTACCACATACCATATTTTATATCTTCGCTCCTAGTCAAGCCGAAAGCGGCGGAAACTGTCTCACAAAGCTGTTCATAGCACGTCAGCACAACCCAACCCACAACTTCAACGAAGACACCATCAAAAGACACATACTGGGCAGGACATTCGTAACCCGCGGGGTTCTTGTTCAAGTAGAGCTGGTGGTACTCCTCAGCATCCCACCACTGACCGGCGGGGACGATCTCGGTGGAAAGAGGCTTGTGGTACCACTCCTTGCTCACTTTCTCCGCAACGTCCTCCGCGATCTTCTGTTGCTCCTCGCCATGTGTGAAGATCGCACTGCGGTACTGGGTGCCGATATCCGGGCCCTGCATGTTCTTGGTCGTGGGGTCGTGCATGCGGAAGAAGAACTCCAGCAGAGACCGGTAGCTGACGATGGAAGGATCAAACGTCACCTGCAGAGCTTCGGCATCTGAAGCCACCCCAAACAGAAGAAGTCAGAACGAGTGGCGTCGTCGAAACTAACCCGCGCATGGCGTTATCAACTTACGGCCAGTGTCGCCCGAGCAGACGGCGCGATAGGACGGCGACGCGGTCGAGCCACCGCAGTAGCCCACCTTTGCATCCAACAGACCCTTTCCGTTACCGAAGTGCTTGCGATAGAGGTGCTCTACGCCCCAGAAACATCCGGCGGCGAGAGTTGCGGTTTGCGGGCCAGACATCTTGCGCGCAACAGAATCTGAGGTCACGGACAAGAACGGCGAGCTAGTCGAAAAGGGACGAAGAAACCGTGAGAATAGAGTCTGACCAATGGCAGGCGTGGCGAAAGCCATTGACTGTACGTACTTGATGCAGTGCTGATATGCGATTATGCAACTTTTTTTTTTCTCGAACCGGAGCCGTGAGGGGTAGACACAATTAGCCCGATACGAGATACTGCAGGAGAGGCTGATGAGGCTGATATGAGATACCGAACGCTTGACCCTCAATTATCTGCGATTGAGATGATATGAGAGATAGACTGACCTGAGCTAAGTAGAATGGGGATAATTATATCCGCAACGCAAAGTCGATTTGTCATGGGGGGAGCTCCCAATAAATTGGAGTGGAGTGGATTTGCGTCATTCCACATGGTGACATAATTATGCCGGCTTACTTCATATATGCACTCCGCACTCCACCAGGACGTTGCTCATGCTCATGTAAGTCTTGAAGGGTACTTCTGATATTGTACACATCCCAAAGGAAAGTAATATATGTCGTACAGAGAAAATAAAAACATCGACATCGAAAACCGCGGAGATTACAAATTTCCAAGTATCTCCCAGTTGTCAACCCCGAAACGAAGATGGCCCAAACCAAAGGCAATGACTTCATCCGTGAGAATATGAATGGAAAGCAAATGGTATCTGTCCGAAACGCCCGCCCCTGCCAATCCCAACAGAAACAGCAATTACTAGGACAGCATATGTAGAAGCTTCAGGTTGTCCTTTCGAGATTAGGAGCGGCCGCAGAGCTGAGTCTGATAGCATCCCGGCTGGTGAGGCTAATGTCTCGGGGACGGAAATCACCTCCAAATGTCGTGCGCCGTCCCGTATTCTTCATGATAGGAAGGGTCCGCGGGCTCAACACCCTGGGCTTGAACTCTTGTTCTTTCTCCCCCTTGCCGATGCGTCTCGCTTGCGAAGTGAACATCGTGTTCATGGTGTTTTCGGTTGGCGAGCTTCCGTAGGTGGCGGATCCTGGGCTTCGTCGACGATGGACCCGGAGGGTATTAGTGGAAGCACCGATACCAAATTGTCCACCCGAAATGCGCCTCATTGCGGAGTTAATCTTGATGGCATCATCCTTATTTGCTTTCCATGATTCTTTGCTGTCGGACACAGGGCTGCTAGAATAGCTTCCGCTGGAGGTACGGACCGCGATTCTCGATGGACGGTCAATAGAAGCGCGATTGAGAAAGCTGCTGTTCTCGATATCACGGAGGGGCGAGTTTTCATTATCGGAGAGTGGAAGACTGGCGGAAGGAGCTGGTGCAATCGGGGAACTACCGGTCTTCTTGGACAAGAACCCAGCCTTAAACCGGTTGTTCTTTTGGATATTCAGGGTCGGTTCGGGAGGCGCTGGAATCGGTGAAGAGCCATTCATCGGACTGAAGTTTCGACTCGGGACGGGAAGACCTCGAGGAACAGGTGAAGTCCGGGGCAACGGAGGTTCGCTCGGGCTATCTTCTGGTTCCGGCGCTGTTTCTGGCTTCTGTGGTGTCTTCTGGAACTCTGTCAAGGTGCCATCCTGCTCATCATCCTTCCAGCGGACGCTTCTCTTCGCGGCCTTCGAGGCCGTCTTCTTTGGGGAGAAGCTGACGCTCTTTCGACCAGCTCCTATCTTACGGCGTCGAGGAGAACCCTTCGTGGGCGAGAGGGGTGCCGCTGGAGCGAGAGAAATCGGAGCACCCAGAGTCTTGCTGCCAGAAGGATGGGCCAGACTCACTCTCTTCTTCGGCTTAGCAGGGCTGGCTTTGACGGGGCTGAATGTCTGAGCTGGCAACACATTGCCATCCGGCTTCACGACATTGGAGGTTGCAACGGCACAAGAGTTCAACATCTTCGAGAGGATCTTCTTCCCTGTCTCGACCGCTTCCTGTTCAGTGAGCTGCATGATATTCTCAATCGAGGAAATCGTCTCGAAATGGGCCTGGAGCAACAGCTGCACCGTTGCCACATCTCCAGCCTTCTCCTGCTCTGCTACCGCGGACAGAGCCTCACGCTCGGTGTTAGACCTCAGTAGCTCGGCCTCCCGATAGAGGTTGGAGGAATCGCTGTTATCACTGATGTCAAACTCCTGGAGCTGACGAACGGCGTTCTCGACAGCAGAATTCATACTGCGATCCCAGCTGCTCCTCGCCAACCGCTGGTGGTAATGTTGTCGACTTCCTTCCAACTCAAGAAGAATTCCCTGGGCTGTCTTGCGGATAGCAGAGAGGTTTGACAAGGCCTGCTCGTCCTCGGAGTTGGCGCACACGTTGTCAAACGCGGCAATCCAGGAAGACAGCATGCCGATCCTGCGGCTGATCTGTCTCAATTTGATCATATTGTTGGTTCTTTCCTGTCTCTCTGGCAGGGAATGCTCGTAGGCGTTGCGAATACGGGCGACACCTTCGCGGATGACCGCATCCTTCCTCTCTGTCTGCTTCTTGAATTTCGCAAAAGCGACCTTCTCGTAATCCTTTTGCTGAGCCTTGAGTTCATTAATCAAGGCCATTTGCTCGTCGATCTTCACCAGGAAGTCCTTAACATGGCGATTGACATTGAATACATTTCTCGTAACTTTGGTCTGAATATTCTTCGCCCTGTTCGCATAGCGCAGGGTGTTTTGGGTTTCATCGAAATGCTGACTCGACGGACTCACGCACACAATCATCACCGTTTTGCAGTTGCCGCCGAGAGAGAACTTCAGCAGACGCGTGAGCTTGGAATTTCTGTAGGGGACATGGTTCCTTTTCCGAGGGTCACAAAGTGCATTGATACAGCTTCCCAGAGCCAGGAGCGATTTGTTGATGTTTGCACCCTCGAAAAGTCTCTCACCCCTGTTCTTAGTGGCGCTGGCGCGCTCACTTCCCGCAAGGTCAATGATACTCAACGTTGCCATAGTGTGAGGTTCGTGCACGTCAGAGTTGCGATCCTTCTGGGCGATATTAATCTGAAGCACCGCGTGCGATCTCGAAGAGGTCGCATTGGCCTCTGTTGGGGACATCGTCCGACATGCGTTGCCTCTCATGATCATGTCCATGACTTCCTGTACGCTCTGTGGGTGGTGGCTCGACAGCCCAGCGACCGAGACAGATTTGTTGGAATCTTCCCGGAGCATCAAGCCTCCTTTGCTGCCCCCAGGAACAAGGAGATCACGGATTGTTTCGTTGTAAATCTCAAGGTATGAGAGCGAGATCTCGGTTGCCTTTTCGCCAGATCGTTCTTCGATGCGTTCGAACAATTCTTGCATCGTCAAGAAGATGATACCCGGTTGCTGTGCCGTTCCAGTGATTGTATGAGTTTTTCCACAGCCGGTCGCGCCATAAGCAAACACCGTGGCATTGTAGCCGTCGAGGACACTGTCGAGAAGGGTTCGAGTCGTTGATTCGTACACTTCGCCTTGAGATGCGTTCTGATCGAAAATGCGGTCGAAGGCAAAAGTCTGATCCTTGACACGTTTACCATTGGGAACAACGCTCTTGGAGAACTTCTGGACGGGATTGTCTTCCGGTGGATCGAACACACTTTTGAGGTGGTTAACATGGACGATTCGCTCAGATAACACCTCGTTCAGTACTTACAGGCATCTATTGTCAATGACTTTCACAATGGAGCGGATGCCTTTCTGGTTGAGCTTTGGAGTCGGAGCTCCAGCTAGAGAGCCATCACCGAGGAAAAGAGGGCCATCTTCGCACTTAGCAAGCTGGGCGGCCTCGCGGATGGTAAAGGGCCTGACGCGGACGGCCACGGTAATCGATGAAGAGTCACTCGAGGCCGTCATTGTGACTGTGTTTCTTTCGGAGTAGTGAGATGAGGTTGGAATCGTTATATTGTCGTCACGGTGGGGAGGCCGGATATCCTAGTACCCTGCGAAGCCCTGCACCGTCGGCGAGGCGAAGAACTGGAATGAAACGTCGATGGTGAAGAAGAGAAAGATAAGACTAAAAACTCATCGACCAGGAATGTTGACTGTGGACCTGGGTGCAAACAGCGCGGAGACTCCTGTTGAATGGCGCTCCTGACGATGGATGTTGCTTAGCTACAGTTTGGAAACTGTTGACACGGGGCTTGTTGTCCACCCTGTTGCTCCGAGCAACAGCCACGCGTGCGGATAAGATGAAGATCGGCGTGGCGTTAGCAGATACCCGCCAGAGTGCCTTGCATGATCTAGGCCAATACGTTAAATGCACAGGAGAAATCAAATATTCCAACGCACCACCCCCTGCTGATTGGTGATGATATTCCAAGCCCCTCTCAAGCCACTTGCGCATCGTAATGTTGGCATTGACATGGTGCATTGTTTATAGATTCTTCTTGACATCCATGACAGGTATCCTTGCTCCTATATCCTCTAAGAATGCACTGCCCAAAATTTACGTAGCTTGTCGGGTTTTGATAGTGATAAGCCACGTATTCATACCTACCATGGCGGTGCCTAAGTAGTACTATCGACTTTCCACACATACACACCACTGATAGAGTCTTATTCATTTCGTCGTACAGTATTTGTGATAGTTTTAGAACCATGGTCTTCATTTTTGCCCAAGAGCACAACACTAAACGCCAATAGAGATCCACCCGCTTTGCGCCTTGAGAATGATAGAAAAACAGAATGACACCACCCAAAACCTTCGCATATCCCATTGATTCAGTTAGGTTCTTCTTCCTCATCATCAAGATTAGGAAGGACCACATCCCAATTGGCATCCTCCAATTCAAGATCTATGTCTGTTTGATCGGTCTCGTCCTTGTGTTGTCGGAATCGAAAGGCGATAGGCTTTCCGTTCTTCACATCTGCGGCCTGTAGTGTAAGAGAGCTTGCAGATTTCTTCCCGGCGCGTTTCGCGGCTCCATCTTCATCAAATTCTGGCAGATCGAGCTCGAGTTTGGTCCAACCCTTCTCAAGATCGTTCTTGTCCACAGGAATGCCAAGCTCGATATCAGAGGGGTCTTCTGGGACTGCGTCGCCGTTGATCTCTTTCAAACCACGGGATTGTAGGGCTTCGAGAAGGGCGATTTTGGCGTTGGCGATTGTTTCGGAAGGAGGCAGCATAAGAAGCACGGTGGTCTTGTGCTTCTTGAACAGGAGGGTCCAACTGAGAGGGTCAGGTTTCGACTAAAAGGTATACTAAGTCAGCTAGGTTCTCGTAGCACATGTTTTAGGAGGTCCATAGTCTTGCGCACCATGATGTAGACTCAACTGTCGAGGTCGATCAATAATGAGGAGCTTTGGTGAGCTCCGGCGGGTCCGCGGAGCTTTTCGTAAAGTCGGCAGGGAGGGCGGAGAACGCCAAACTTCAGGTAGACAGCCTCAGGCCGCCTCCTTCATCTCCTTCAAGACGTCAAACCCGATCCACCATCATCGTTCTCCCCACGAACCCTCTCATTCACTTGGCAAAAGGCGATAATACCTCGAAAATTACAAAGCCACCCCGGATTTTCTTTCGCCATAATGGACGCCCAGCAGCCTCCGGACACGCGCAACGGCGAAACCTCTCCGCCGGTCAACATAGCCCATTGGGACAAATACTTTGAGTCCGATGCTCCTCCAAGGCTTGGGATGGAACCTGGGAAGCGCCTTCCTCTCACATCGTTAGCGGCTTTTGCTGTGGGTGTGGCGATTGGATCTTCTCACGGCAGCAAGATGACGGCCTATCGATTCCGCGCCGAAAACGCCCACCGTTTCCCTACCACCTCCAATGGATGGTTCCAGTACCATAAGTCGAAGAACTACGCAGCTGTAGTAGGAGGTGTGAAGGAAGGCTTCAAGATGGGGTTCAGACTAGGCGGAGGTGCCCTGGCCTTCTGCCTCTTTGAAGAGACCGTTGACTATGCCCGGAACGACCGGCGGGACTTTTTGTCGACAGTGACAGCAGGATTATCCTTTTCTGGAATCTATAGTCTATTAGGTTTGTCGAAACCCCAGTCTTGGAAGGCACCAGCGGACGCTAATGTCATTATTCTTCCAGCTCGACATGACGTCTACACCGCAGCGCGCACCGTGAAACTTGGCTTGAAGTTGAGTCTAGCATACGGACTCATGCAGGATGGCCTCGAAACCATGAAAGGGAACCGCCCTGCATACTTGGATTTTATCTTGGGGAACCGCCGACCGAACGCAGAGTGAGGAGACCGTGACAGCTGATGGGAATGTTTGGTTCGCGGAATGGCCATCTTTTTAGGGCCTGATACCACACCGCCATACACAATAAGCAATACTGCTCTCGGATCGCTCTACTGGGAAGCTCAGGTCTGTCAACGCTCGTTCGGGTGTCTGGGGCGACTATTTGGTCGGCATTTTCCTATGTCGGCTTCTTGGCTTTGGTTGCACTTTGTGGTGCAAGTGGAAATGATCTACAACATGATTTCCACTCACATGTCTTCAATGGCTACGCTCTATCTCTGTCATGGGCCTCGCCGATTCCCAAGACAGCGGTACGTCAGCCGGGAAAACCTGTAACCAGGATGGCAGAGCTTTGGGCGATTTCTAGGCTCGCATACTGACCGAAGACCGCGTCGAATGAAGACTGGGAAAAGGCTCAGAGGCTGACTATCCCCGAGGGAGAGATGAGCTCATCAAGCGACAGTTAGATGCACTGAATTGATGACCGAATCATAATTTCTTTTGTAACGAAATAAGCTTCCATGGGTGGCTTCCAGAAGCGAAAATCGAAGTGATTGATAAAGCAACGCGTGGCGGCCCCTGCACTGGCCTATCAATCGCACGAACCTGTCTATGCATTATTCTGATTGAAGAGACCGCAGTAGCGCAAGATAGTAGACATTCTAAGGGGAAGAGAAAGGGCTTAGTCCCACCCATGATGGTCCATACATCATGCATCCTATTTAATTGTGATCCATGAGGGATCCTCATGGGAAGCAGACGAACCGTCTGCAGGATCAGACACTGCAGGAAATCCAGGTAGTGGCATATTATATCGGCACTGTCGTCCAATCGAGCCCTTTGTCTCGGCAGTGAACGGACGATCTGTGTCCCAAACTACGACGAAATTGGTAGTACTTGCAGACCGTCGATTCTTTTTCCTCCGAGGTAGTATTATACTATCTCCTTCTCTACCTGAGTCAGTTGCAGAATCGTGGGAATCGCAACACAGAAAATACCGAATAGAAGAAGGATCCAATTTTTCATGAATGAGTGCTAAAAGCTTGGTACTGGCGTACTCTGTTGATGGCTGATCCCCCTCCTTCAGAGTGTTTCGTCAGTTTCATTGTCCGAAATCTCCCCCACCACCGATGCTACCAAACGCAGCAACCCACTAACTAGACTACTGAAGTTCAGACTGCAGAACAGAGGCGCACTGACGGGTCTTGCTTTGGAAGATCAGAGGACATTTTCCTTTTTTTTTATTCTGAATCATTTGATTATTCCCGTTTCTCCCATTTCCTGATGCGCCGTCAATTATTGCTCTCCGATATAAAATAATTTTGGGGGACGGAAAGTGAACGGGTGGAGTCCTCTGCCATATTTGACGTGGGTGATCCCCGCTTTCATTAATCATGCTGGAAAGCTCCCTCTGCTCGTCCCGACGAACTAACCACCACCGCCATGCTTGTTCTTAGTAGTCCGAGCTACCCCTCCACTTTCGCCTTGGATCTTTACTTTTCATCCCATCGGCCTTCTGCATTTTTCTCGTCCTGTCTTCTTTGAGACACTCCCAAGCGATCCGTCCTCTAGGCCTTTCCATCCTTTCGGTCTTCCCTCTCTTTTCCCCCACACCCGCGCTGGACATGCCTTTTTGAAGCTTCCGTGACCCAGTTCTCGTCGACGTCATCGGTCCATTGACAATCTCCTGTCGAACCATATGCCGTCTCAGACACTCCTACTTCACTCCTCGCCCTTTCCTGTCTCCTGACTTTTAAGAGGTATCGGAATTTATCCATCATGCGTCGCCATGGAAGGGCCGGTGGAGGGACGAAGGCCGTCACTCCCGTGTCGGACACCGTCTCTCTGATCCATTCTTTCGACTCGCTCACGAACCCCAATCGGCCTGTCCGCCCGTCGCCATTAGCTTCTTCCAGCATCCAAGCACTGCCCTTGGATCTAGTCGATCGGTTGCGCTCCTTTCCTCTATTCCAATCCACCCCCGAATCCTTCCTCGTCGCCGTCGGCCAACATCTGCGCCCCCAGCTCAATTCCGCAAATGACTATATCTTGACGGAGGGCGACGAGGCCAAGGCAATATATTGGTTGGTCCGCGGCGCCGTCTCGGTCACCTCTCGGGATGGCGAGAGTATATATGCGGAACTCGAACCTGGCGCATTTTTCGGCGAGATTGGCGTCCTGATGGATCGCCCCCGCACAGCGACCATTATTGCCCGGACCCGATGCCTGCTAGTTGTCCTGACGAAGGAAGACTTCCGAAAGATCTTGCCGCATTTCCCGGACGTTGAGCAGGCCATCCGGGATGAAGCGCAGGAGAGACTGATGATACTGGAAAAGAAGAAGAAAGAAACTTCGGCGCCGCCAGTCGACCTCGAGAGCCAGACCCGCCGCGGTTCGAAGCGATTACGAGATACCTTCTCCCGAGACATGAGCCTGGCTGATCGCGATGGTACGACACTCAAATCCGTCAGCAAGAAACGGAAGTCTCCTAGCCCCGGGTTGACCGATGGAACGTCGAGCGCCCTGGGGAACGGGCTTGTCAATGTCCGCCGCCTACTCAAGGAGCTACCCTTGTTTGCCGGTTTACCATCAGACATCCTTCATTTCCTAGGCCTCAATTCGCAGCCTCGATCATATCCGCCTTTCACCGACATCATCAAACAAGACTCGCAGGGTCGAGAGATCTACTTCATTGTTCGTGGAGAGGTCGAGGTTTTGGCTGAGAGGTCGTCACCGGGCCCAAAATCCCCCCCAAACACCATAGAGCACCCGGGGTTCGAAGTTAAAGCCCGGCTGAAACAAGGTCAATACTTCGGCGAAGTAGTAAGCCTCTCGCTGGCACCTCGAAGAACGGCAACAGTTCGTTCTATAAGCGCGGTGGAATGTCTTATGATTGGCGGCGATGTTCTCGCCGAATTCTGGGAGAAATGTCCCCAGAACGTACGGCAGCAGGTCGAGAAGACCGCTAGGGACAGACTACAATCGGCTTCCGATGGCGATGTCGTCATGTCCGAAGCAAACGATGAGCCTTCGGCAGAAGAAAACAACCTCACAACAAAGGCATTTAGGAGACAGTCGATGCCACTCGTAACCCTCACCGAAACCGAGCTGGACAGCACTCAGACCACCAGTGCGACAGATGACCAAGCCGTACTGCGACCTTCAGACCCCGACCCGTTTCATAACGCTGGCCTGGACAAAGTCCGGTTACGAAGTCGACGAGGGTCTGTCGCCCCGTTGTCCCCAGCAGAGGTCTCTGGTGAACAGCACCGGACTTCCCCGTCATCGGAGCCCAGGTCTACAAGTTCTTCGTTCCTGACCCTTCCCGAGACTCCGACGTCAGTGTCGTCGAAGTCATTGCGTGAGCCTCAAAAAGACAATCGCGGAGTCCTCCCCGACAATGTCTTGCTCAAAATCTTCAACTATCTAGACCTCCATGATCTTCTTCGCATACGAGCGGTCTCGCTACATTGGTCAGAAATGCTCAGCAAATCTACAGAGTTGCTTCGCCACCTCGACCTGAGTCCATACAATCGGTGTGTTACCGATGATGTTTTGGTCAAAATTATCTGCCCATTTGTCGGCAACAGGCCCCGATACGTCGACATCGGGAATTGCTTCCACATCACCGATGAGGGGTTCAACAAATTAGTCGCCACATGTGGCGCCAACGTCATTGCCTGGAAGATGAAAAGCGTCTGGGACGTAACTGCATCGGCGATCCTCGAAATGGCAACTAAGGCCACTGGTTTACAGGAGGTTGACCTCAGTAATTGTCGGAAAGTCGGAGACACTCTTCTTGCCAGGATCATCGGCTGGGTCGTTCCAGGGCAACACAAGTCGAATGAAGAGCTAGCAGCAAAGTCAGGGAAAGGCGCAATGATGCCTACCATGCAAACTGCAGCCGGAACAGTATTTGGCTGTCCAGAGTTGAGAAGGCTGACCTTATCCTACTGCAAACATGTGACCGATCGATCGATGCACCACATTGCCTCCCACGCAGCGTCAAGGATCGAACAAATGGACCTGACTCGCTGCACTACGATTACAGACAAAGGATTCCAATTCTGGAACAATACCCAATTTACCAATCTGAGGAGACTTTGTTTGGCCGACTGCACATACTTGACTGACCAGGCGATTGTCTACCTGACCAATGCTGCAAAGCAGTTACAGGAACTGGATCTGGTAAGAACATTCGCAATTTCTTTCCGCTCCAATCAATTACATAGTATACTAACTATAGCCAGTCATTCTGCTGCGCATTGTCAGATACCGCTACCGAGGTCCTCGCTCTTCAATGCTCTCAACTGACGTATCTCAATATGTCCTTCTGCGGCTCAGCCATTTCCGACCCATCGCTACGCTGTATAGGTCTGCATCTCCTCCACCTGAAACGACTCTCTGTTCGTGGTTGTGTTCGCGTCACTGGCGCTGGAGTTGAGGCGGTCGCAGAGGGTTGCAATCAGCTCGAGTCCTTTGACGTTAGCCAGTGCAAGAATCTTCTTCCCTGGCTTGAAGACGGCGGGCCGCTCAAGTATAGAAACAAGATCTGTTTCGACACAGTTGCTCAGAATGGGCGATTGTTTCGATGACCGAAATCTACGCTCATATGGGCGTCCTCTCGCTTCCAATATTTACGACGACCTATATGTCCTTTGTTCTATGAAGGCCATCTTGTGTTGCCATATACCTTCATCTCACTCACATACCTATTGTCTAATTCTTTCTCTCTCTGTACCTGCCACCATCTCTTACTTGTGCTTTTCTGTACGCTCTTTTTGTTTCGGTCTGGTGCCGTGTCTGGTCCGTTGGAGTTGCGTCCTTTGCCTCGAACGTCTTCTTCTGATCCTCTCTCTTATCACGAATGATGACCGCAAAAGGCCCTTGCATCGCGTTGAGAAATGGAGTCCATACATGTTGCGCTATCAAGATTTATCTGGCTTACCCCGTTGTGGTTCTTTTTCATTATTGTTCGTTCAGGCTGTCTGGGAATTCAGGCATAGAAGGAGTTTACTCTGAAGGAAGAGCGAGCATATGGCTGCATTAATCGTCATGGGTTGGGTTAACATTGGTTTGTCTCCAAGCAGGAGAAATAGCCTGGTGTGTATGTTAGAGGCTTTCTTTTCGTTTTCCCCGCTATCTACTTCGCCTGTGTCTACCTGTTCCCTTGGGTTGGAGATACCTTCAAATCGCATTAGAATCGTTGTTCCTCGAAGTAAGATTTCTACAACTAACTTCAAGTACTTGTTTTGTGAGATCCCAGTCGAATTCCATTTATTGTTCCCTTGTTGGGCTCACGTGGCCCGTTGACATAGTGGGTTTTCGTTTGCTTCTTTCTTTACTTGACACTTCCCGATCTTTTCATCTTTGGCTTCTTCCCTGTTCCCTGTTCCCATTTGAATGTTATGAACAAAGACCTGGGTAAGTGGCAATCTCTGACAGATTGAGGCTGAAGGGCCGTTGCAGGGGTGCCTCTGCGGCGACCAACCAGTTCAACCGAGACTAACAATGTCCTTGTAGTGGACCATTGTTTGAAGATGTCTACGGATAATACCATTCACGCTTGCACCCTTGCATGGCCTGGCTCTTTGAACCCCCAGGACATGCCTTGAAGACCATTGTTTGGCAGTGAATGGGCTTTGTTTGCTGACAATGGACCGGCCAGGTCCAGCAACAAGAACAAGCACATTCACCAAGGAAAAAGGAAGTACAGTTCGAATTAGCCATGGGAAATCTATATAAGAGTCGGCGAGTATCATGAACAGTCGGCTTTTTTCCACTACTCCTCCTGGTCCTCAAGCCATATCATCACCTCTATTATTCACTCACCATCGCTAACGGGAATCTATCGCACCCTAACGGATCGTATCGAGACTTTGGCGTCACTCTACCACGATGGCTCCTGTTAAGCGTACCTTCGAACAGGCAGACCAGGGTTGGACCAACGAGCAAGCCCTGGCCTCAGAGCTCGGACATGCTCTGGGTGACGAGCAATTCCCATCCGGTGCCTCTCATTCGTCCTCGCAGCAGAACAGCACCGATGTCGCGGAGGGCCCTGCAGTTCAGCAAGCTGTCCAGTCTGCACCACCTGCTAAACGGCCTCGAAAGGCCCGACGCAAGAGGAGCGACCCTCCTCCTGATTACTCCGCTGCGGTCCAGCGCAATATGTCGGGTTTGAGTCGGGCTGCTCAGGCTTGTGACCGTTGTAAGGTAAGCGAACTTATCCAGTAATCATGTTCTTTCTACGGAGCAATCCACTAACTGTTCTTGCTATCTATAGTATCGAAAGGTGCCTTGTGATCACGGCTATCCGGCCTGTGAGAATTGCCGTAAAGAGAACTTACCATGCGTCACTACAGACCGTGTCACCGGCCGTCCCATCGCGCGCGGCTATTTGGAGCGGGTTGAATCATACGCCTTTGACAACTATCAGAGGTCTCGCCACCTTCAAGTCTTATTCATGAATACCTGGAACTATGCCTATGCCTTAGAAGCTCATGTTCAGCAATTGTCGCATATCGTCACTCAGTCTGGGCTGCCGCATCCCAGTCCGCAGATTCCTGTGAGTTAAATCTGTTTCACCCCCGTGTATCTGGCGATGAGTGTTAACGTTTCTTTTCATTTTAGGAAAATCTGTGGAGAGCATTCCATGAAACCAATCCTGGAGCTGCTTTTGCACAATTGGACCGCCCTCCCACGCCGCCTCCCTTTCCGTCTCAAGGTAACGTTTCACCCACCGCCCACGTTCCTGTTGCAGGACCTGGACCTGCTATGGTGAACCAGCCCCCCCAGCCTCACTATCCAGGTACCACCAGCCATCCCCCGGGTGCAGTTTCTCAACCCGCTCGGCGTGCGGTAGAGAGTCGGCCGGATCCGCGACGTAATCATACCCAGCGGCCCAATGCTGGGCATCCAGCCATGGGGGCGCCATCTAGAGAACGTCCTGTCCCTAGTGTGAACGTGAATACTGCCTATCCTAACGTCCAGGTGCATGATGTGCCTCGCCCTCAGAACCCTACGACCCGTCCACCTACGACCCGTCAATCTACCACCCATCCACCTACTGTTCAGCGTTCTGTCCTCGGTACGTCTCCTAACTATGGTGTTGCACCTGCTCACGCATCCTATAACGCTGTTGGAATTCCTAACCCTGGGGCTACTAATCGCGCTGCCCAGCAATCCGCACGAAGCACGCATATAGAAACGATTGACCTCACTGGTGATGAGGGTGACTATCATCCACAGGGCTTGGGCGAAGTTTACCCAGCTCCTCCCAGTCAGTATATAGCGACTGACATCCTCCAGGGTCCTAACGGACAACCCAGCTTTGCACCGCCACCTCAGTATCCCAATGATACCATCGACCCGTCTGTGCTTATGCCAGCCTGGTCGCCCTATAGATTCGATGGTTTCGATACTGGTGTGCAAGCTGGCACGGAGAGTACTGCACCTTTCCTGGACTCCGAGCAACACCATGTTCCAGAGAACTCGGATACTGGTGCACAAGGCTCTGCTGATCAGCCCGCCCCCGCTGCTGAAGCTGCGACTGTCGATAATAGCGAGCACCCCGGTGACTCCCAGCTCTTGAGCAAGGTCCCTTCAAGCGCTCCCCTTAACTTTTCCGTCCTTGATGATAAGAACTTTGATGACTTCCACATCCCACATGAACCACTCGATCTTGAACCCGGTGCTGATCTCGGTGCTTTCCTCGCCCAGTTACAGGGAGCAGATGCGAACCCAGTGCAGTCACCGCGACCATATACCTCTGTCCCTGCCTCTGTCCCTGCCGATGTCGATGCTTCTGTCCATGTCGTTGTTCCTGCCGCTGTCGATCCCTATGTCCCCGCCTCAGTCTTTCCCTCTTCTGAACCAGATAGCATTGACCGCGAGCTCGCTGAGTTCCTTGCAGAAGAGCCCACCGTTGCAGAACCGCAGGCGCTTTTTGACCTCCCTAGTGGATCTCCTAAACAGGGGAGCGCCCATGCCGATGATGCTGATTCTCTATTTGAGGGTAGCCTTGGGATTAGTTCATCCTCTGCTGGCGGTGAGACTGCTCCTACGAATGAAGCCCCCGCTGGATCGGGCAAGACTTACAACCTTGGTGATTTTAGGTTCAGTTCCTAGTGGTCTGTCGCATATTCGGTTCCTTGCATGGAGCGTGCTTGAGCGGGGGTTTGTTTGCTTTTCTTGTTGGAGTCTTGACTCGATGTTTGTGTGAGTGACCCATTCCGAGTACATTTACTAAGGTTCTAAGATAAACCACAGCATCATTTTACAGTTATTTATACGATCAGCATTAATGAAAATATTATTATTACAGTCTGATATCAAAACTTCTCTCATTCATTAGATTGTCAAATCACGTTGCTGATAAATACTTCGTTGCACTCTAGTATGGCTCGTCTGCATTTGAGCCGAGTTTTGTAGTCACAAACGTGCCGTTAAACCTACTCGACCAGAAGAAATCTCCAAATGCGAGACTCACAGAGCTGGAACGAAAGAGATCTTAAGAGGTTTTCTCACTGACGCCACACATATAGACTGAGGCTGAAAGGAGGTATGGGACAGTTAGTCGGCAAGGAAGACTCGGCGCATCTTATTCACTTTAGAGTAACTAATGCGATGCTTCCCTAGGCTATCGGCCAGTCCGGCCAGAGCGCAAAGGATCAGCTTCACAGGGTTCATGACCGGTTTTGATTTGGCGCAGTTCGGCTTTTCACCCGGACAGTCAGTGATCGTCAGAGTAACCACGGCATACCGGTAGGAACTGATGAAAATCTCGAAGAAAAGGAAACGAAAAGGAACGGCGCAGGGCAAGGACGAGAAGAAACCGCGGCGCTTGGGGGCGAATCTATGGATGTCGGCGTCGGCTAAGCCCGAGAGAGAAGGAACCGAGGCAACTCGTGTTGTGGGTGTAGATCGTTTCCTGATGTTGGATCAAGCTTTTACTTACGAGAGGATGTCATCATTTACATCTTCCTCTTTTTCCCTTATTGTCTCTACAGACGACCCTTTACATCATGCCATGCCGAAGGGTTCGCAAGCACATGTGGCCGAGCGGCTAGAGGGTTAGAGGGCTGGAGGCGTACTGATCTCACTATGAATTTGTTACAAGTCATCCCGCTGGCTTCTGGTGAAAATCCTTCTGCACCGTCCAGGCGACACGGTCAGGGTCCGTTTTCATGTGATACACGATAGTAGGGAGATCATCATAAGGCAGCGTTCGCCCTACGTAAGACCAGACGGACTCTTTTTAAAACCCGCATGCCCAGTTCAGGAGAAGGAACTCGTGTTCTTCAAAGTCGTCCCTTTTTGCTTTCCTCCCAGAAATTGAGATACCCAGCAAGACAGCAGACAGCACTCATCGACCATGGCCTATACCACTGCTTGGCTACAACCCGTGCGGGGCGTCCAGACCCTCTTTGGCATTGCCGTCTTCGGTCTGATCATCTACAGTACGCTAGAACCTCCCCCTCCCCCCTGTCCTAATACCTCCCACAGAATGGAATCTAACCAGCGACAGTCCTCGCGGTCTACAAGTATGATGCGGTCACGAAGTTGATGCTCTTCAACAGCATCTGGGCTGGCTTTGTCGCGACGCCCTACCTCGCCTTGGCGCCGGTGCACTTCCCCCGAATCGCGCACTACCTCGTCATCCCCGTGGTCGAGGCAAGCACCTTCATCCTGTGGCTGGTCGGCGTTATCCTCTTGGGCATCGACCTGCCATCGGCTGGGAACTGTCACTTTGCCGCCTGCGAAGCCACCCAGGCGGCGGTCGTCCTATCGGCCCTGGAATGGTGAGTTCCTATCATCTCCGTGCAATGTACTTTTGGGTTACTGACCTGGGTTGAACGAAATAGTGCTTTGTTCTTCGTCACGACCATCCGAGCCGTTCTGGCTGGCATCCAATTGCACAAAAATAGACATGCTCGCACTGAAGAAGCCGCTCCGACTGCTAGCGGTGCCATGGAGCAGGTATAAACAACGTCATGACTAGGTGTTCCACCTATCGAGGTACATACTACTAGATGGGAAGCGCGTCGTTTCCCCTAATGGCTTATAATACGGGTCTCTGTGCCCGCTCTTTACGACGATTCGGTTACTCTTCGATGAATAGATATCCACGGGACAACTTTGGGTGTTAGATATGCGAAATGTTTAATGTGATAATTTTTAATGTTTTTTTCATTTGTGTTTCACTGGGCGGCTGAGATCGAAGTTGTATGATAGACCTCTTCATGAACTCTGATATAACCAAAACCTAGTTTCTATTCAGACGACGGTAGCAACAACATATACCCCTACTCTCACACCACTGTCGCACAGATCCGACATTCACTTCTCTGTCCTCTCTGACAAGTCCTAGTCCCTCTGTATTTAACCATGTCGTAAAGTCTTCGATAATGATGGGATCGTACATTAATATCTTCTCATGCCAAGTTGGGCAATTCCGGGTTCCAGGACGTGTTGATGACTGTGCCCGCACAGCTCTCGTAATCTGGTCCGAGATATCGCTGGGGTTCCGCTTATCGACACCACTGAGGCCTGCGGATAAGGGCATCCGAGAAGGACTCGATGAAGTATCCGTTACTGACAAAGATGCAGTTCTTTTGGAAGAGCGACTAATACGGAAGTTGTTTTGCAGTCGGTTTGGAGAAGGGATTATCTCCTCTTCTGAATCCTCAATCTCTTCCACATCCCTGTAGGAAGTTATTGACGAAGGCTTGTTCAACCTGGTTCCGGAGGCAGTGATTTTAGTGCGCTCTCTGGTAGGTCCGGCTGCAGTACATGGATTGGCATCGGACTTTGTTGTCCTCTTAGACCCAGCCGCCGTCTTCGGTTTTGTCGCTTCTCGAGATTCTTTGGTTTTGCTAGGCTGTCCCTCAGGCACCTGCAGTCTAGCGGAGGCAACTCGAGAGGTTGAGGAAGCAGGTCCAGCCTGCTGATCGGACGTGTCGTTGATATATAGGCTCGGTCCATATTTGGTTTCCCAGCACTTCTCAAGTAGTTCAACCATTTTCCGGCGATTCTTGAGAGGTTTGAACCCGAATTCTGTCACTCTCTCAGATAATACAGCATCCGTAAAATCATTGTAGTTTGGCATGGAAAGATGCGTATGTTCCGACGCTTCGGGCTTCGGTGCTTCATCCTGATTATGTATCCGTTTTGAGGGTTGGGAAATTGAATCTGACTCCCGTATTTTCTCTTCATATGGTGGGTTTTCGGGAATAGAGCCCGCCGTAACTTGCTTGTTTGCCATTGAAGGCTTGAAGGAAGGCGATTCTGTCAGGTCTACAACCTCTGCATCTATCAACGAACCGTCTAGGTCTCTCGCTGCAACAGACCAGAGGCTTTTTGGGGCTCTAAACCGTGACACTGTGCTGGTAGACATTGACCCTCCCCCAGCACGTTGTAACAGAGAATTTGTTGGCTGACTAGCCATATTCTGCTCTGACTCATGGATAGCCGCTTGCAGGTCTCTTATCATAGTAGGAGAATCTTCTCGCTCGAGCTGGCTGCAAGTGCCAAATATGAGGTCCTGTTCATTAAGCGATTTGACCGCTTCCTCGGGCGAAAGTATAACGACCTCTGGTTGTTGACGTTTGGACCTGGAGGTGCCTTTTCTCTTCAGTTTTGGCATATTTCCATTCGCACTCTCCATGAATCCATCGGGATTTTCGGTTTGAAGTCGCGAATGCATGTCGTCGCTCTGATATCGAGCCGTCACGCGAGCGGTAAGGGTTGTGAATTTTTTGGTTCGCTGCTTGGTACGTCGCTTAGCCTCTGATGCTCTGTCGCCATTTTGGCTGTCTTCCGTGGATTCCTCGGCGGTGGTATCATTTGATGTACACTTCGAGAAGAGGAGATTGTTATCTACAAGCTGATCTTCGATAAGTATCTGTCCATAGAAAGAGCGAAAGAACGCTTACATTTATACGCCTCCTCTTCGTAGGGCCTCTATCAAAACACAACTCCGAATCCTTGTGACAAGCGGAGGTAGTCCCACTGAAGCTGTATCCCGCCAAAAGATCCCCAAAGCCTTTTGAGCTTCCTTCTTTGGCCCCCTCCTGGCTTGCATCGACAAGTTCGATTGAGGTATCTTTCGTCGGTGTCCAGTCCAGACGTCTCTTCAAAGCCGCTTCCAGCTGAAGATCATTATTCCCTCCGTCATCACTAGGCTTGGGTGACTTCTGCCGCAAAGATCCGCATTGTGACGCGTCAGTTGCCGTCTTATCGGACTCCTGAGACCCCATGCTGCCGGACTTTGCGACCCTCCCCGTCAAGGTTTTATTCGTCGACGTTTCTGACTTGCTGCATTTCCCGCGCTTTTTGTTCGACCCTGACGCCCTTTTTGGCGCGTTCGCTTTCTGTGGCAACAACGGAGGTCGGACGCCGTCTAGACCTGCTGCCGGTTCGCTAATGGACCTTTCCACCTTCTTTTCGCGCTTCTCTCTCCTTTCAGAAGTCTTCGACGGTGGCCCCCTTGGAGGTCCGTTTTCCGTCCGAGGCTCATCACTTAAGCTTTCCTTCTGAAAATATCTGGACCGTGTCGGCAGCCGACACAGACTCGAAGGCGACAGTATTGATTCGGGAGAGCTGCCTCGTGAAGGGACAGCCGCTGCCTCGTTGAAATCGTGCGTTGTCGGAGCTGCAGCGCGAGGGGCACAGTGCTCGGGTGAGGAAGAAAGGACGATAGGGTTCGATGCGGCGCTCATGGTGGCGAACCGCTATATTGCAAGGCTATCCGGCCGACATGGATCCAAGGCTGGGGGCTATAGGTGATTTTGTGTTGTGCGGAGGAACATGTCTTCGTCGACACGGGGATTGACGTTGCAGGAAACTCTTGCATCGCGGAGGCGAGATGCGTCGGGAGGTTCTTGGCAAAGTTGCGGGATTACCATATCGGGAAGCATAGTTCGGTGGGCAGGGCAACCAATTTCCGATCTAGAAAGACGGAAGTATTATACTCTTTAGATCTACTTCATGTCCTCAGATACAAGAAAATGCGCCATAAGGATGGCATTTGTTGCGATTGTGCACTTCTCGGCATTTTCTATGGCAGGGGAGTCCCTACGCTCGTCGTGAATAACTGCAGCTCGTCGGCGGACATGCTCTCTCTGCTTCGATCTGATTCAGTCCAAGAGAGACTCGTAGCCTGTGGAAGGTCGCTGGAGACAGCAAGCAGCCAGGTTGAGTGCACAAGATGCCTGCTTCGGACGCGCAGAGTTGCTCAATCCGCGGTATCTTTATAGGCCAAAAGACCGTGGGTAATCGTTTGAGAAATCGCCAGTAATCAAGTTGCTCCCCGCAAGGCAATGGCTCCTATGACAGAGAGCTCCAGCCTCCTATCTTCACCATTGGTGCCATCGGCCTTGTCAGAAGGAGCGGAACTCAACGCTCCTAGCTTGTAGGCTTTCTTGATTTTCGCAATATCAGAGATCCCCGATAAAGTCTCATCATCGAACGGGACAGGAGTTCCTTCAACCGACTGAGCCAAATGCGCTGCTACAGATTCATGGGTGACATCTGGAGTCACAGAGACCTTGACGACCAGTAGGTCTTTAGTAGAATCGGAGATTCCGAATCTGCGGAAGGAATCGGCGATCTGTATGGCTGTTAGCAGTGGTCAGGCATATCAACTTTTCATGCGTACGTTGTTGTTAGGGCTAAAAGAGAAGACAGTCTCCGAGTGGACATTACGGGACTTGAGGCGTTGATTTAGGTAGTCATTGATGGCGCGAAAGACAGCTGAGAGAGCATGTGATCTAGAGAGGACCTGGACATGAAGTGTTAGGGTCACAGCTCTCTCACTAAGAGGGTTTGGTGTGACTCATTTGTCACGTACCATACTAGCGTCAATGAATGCATATTCAAAATCCGCATTGCCAGATATGAGCTGCTGTCGAAGGAACGGCGCATTTTGCACATCACGGTACAGAGCCACATGGACAGGCAGAGGGATGTGGGAGAGATTGAGGGTCTCCAATGTAGAAGACATGATGAGGAAGAGCGTTCTAGATCTAAAAGAAAACGCGTGAAACGAAAGCTATCGATCTCTTCAGAGCAAACAATTTCAATAGTATGTTCTGGTCTGTTCAAATTGTTCCCCTCCCCCACTATGCGATGAGAAATGACGACGGAGCACTGGTTAGTCAGCCAGGCACTGCGCTTCTCGAACGTTCGGCCCGCCGTAGACGGACATACCGGAAACGCCGACTGATATCACCTTTAAATACTCCTCTTCCTTCTCTCTCGTTGCTCTTTGCCTCCCATCGACATCATCATTTTCACCACAACCATGGCGTTCTTTATGCGACGGCCGTTCGCCGTCACTACGGCGCTTCGTCAAGTCCCGAAATCTGCCAACTCTGCTCGATTTATCCACAACTCGCCATTCAAGCCTGCTCAGTCTAAGCCTCTCGGCCCTCTTTCCTCGTCCGTCTTCGCAAAGTCCAGACAGACCTTCCAGAATGCCTTCCGCCGTACATATATGCAGCCTACATACGATGCTACCCAGGGTGGTAACATGACCCAGCGACTCCTGTACGGTGCGGCCATCATCGGCGGCACTGTCCTGGCGACTAACTTCATCTTCAACCGTGAGACCCGAGAGGATGGTGGCATGCCCGACTACGAACGCAGCTACCTGAATGAAACGTTTATGCACACCGGACTTGGTGTTGGTATCATCGCTATCGCCGCCAGAGCTATGCACATGAACGGATGGTCGTATCGTTTGATGGCCGCCAGCCCTTGGGCTGTTGTTGGTCTTGGTCTGGTTGCTAGCATCGGAACGATGTACGGTACCATGTACACTTCTCCTGACAAGTAAGTGATTTGACTCTCGCCTTCATGTTATGTCTAAATGTGGATGGAATGACTAACATTCACCTAGCTATGTGATGAAGTACGGTCTTTGGTCTGCTTTCAACGTTACCCAGGCTGCTCTTCTCTCGCCTCTGATGTTCATGCACCCCGCTCTGCTTGCCCGCGCTGGTCTGTACACCGTTGGAATGATGGGCTCGATCGCCTTTGTCGGTGCCACGGCCAAGCAGGAGAAATACCTGTACCTCGGTGCTCCTCTCCTTGCCGGTGTGACCATTGTTGCTCTCTCTGGATTCGCCCCTCTCGTCCTTCCCGCCACTGCTACCCGCACCTTGATGTGGTCTGAGAAGATCTGGCTGTATGGGGGTCTTGCCGTCTTCGGTGGCTTCACCCTCTACGATGTTCAGAAGGTCCTGCACCACGCTCGCATGGCCCAGAGAGGCTTGGTCCGCCGCGATGTTGTCAATGAGAGCATCAGCTTTGAACTGGATTTCATCAACATCTTCGTCCGCATGGTCCAGATTCTGGGAATGCAGCGCAACAATCGCCGTTAAGCGTATCACCTTAGTGGAGACTCACAGACCCTCCATCTCCTTCAAGGGTCTACCATCGTGAGAACAGAAAACGCATTTCGTCTCACTCATCTCTCGGGCTTGTATAAAACCAAGTCGGGGAGGTGGAAGTAGGAGGAAAGTTGATACGGCTGGTTATCGCTTTTTACTCGATCTTTTTGAGCCTCCTTTGTATTATCAGTTATGGGCCGCATTTCGCCTAAGACGTTTATGTATTGAAACAGTTACACCCAATTTGGTTATTAATAGCCAGACAGATTGTGGGTCAGCGAACCAATTGGGGTCAAAGCATTGAAATATGGCTTTGGGCGCAGTTCTTATTAATTAGAGATGGAAGGAAATCTCCGCTCTTACAACTTAAAGAAATTCAAGAATCTTGATACATGTGTCTTCCTGTATGGTTTGATCCTAATGATTGTACAACTTGCCATCTCAAGCTCTATACACATACTACCTAGTAGAAGACGGTCACTATGGAACTTCAAGCCCGTCATACGTATGCAGCGCTGTTGCATTTTCCCAGCCTGGCACGTAGAGTTCAAAACCCTTCCGCTAAGGACCTCGACATTGACCTCCAACATTATCCGCAAGTTATCCATTTTCCCAACACTACCGGAGCGTTCTGCATTGACCGCAGCGTTATTGATGAGGACGCCGAGGCCACGACTTCCCCGGGTCCCCTGAACCTGACGCACCCCGAAGCGATACTGTCCGAGTGTGCTACCTCAAGCCTCACAGGAATAACTCGGTCATCTGGCTGATAACATTGGGGCTGCGGCGCTAATCGGCAATATTGGCGTAAAGCAAGACGTGCATTAGTGCTAGGCAGGGCGCAGGAGATGTAACCATTCTAGCCAGACAGGTGAACCCGATCTGACTAGTAGATGTTATCGTTCACAAGCAGTGTAACTGCTGCTCTGAGTGATATCTTAGCACGCAGTGGGGATACTTATAACTTCGTATCATCTTTGACCTATTCTATATTGTGTCAGGGCAGCACTACTAAGCTGTCAGTAAACTTGCGTGTAGGCAATTTCTTATGTATCGACGCTTAGGATAGACTGCTTTATGAGACATACTCTAACCTTGAGTCCAGAAGTATTCTGGCGGCAAGCTATTGCCCATGTACCAGCAATGGCAATAGACTCGGAAGAACCACAAAAATACCATCTGGGATGCAGCATGACGATTCTTTGTAGATCAGGCGCCCTGCAGTGAACTGTGTAACCATCGACACAGCCGCACAGCATCCTGTGTTTTCTTATACATCGCATCTCGCACTTTCGCATCCCCCACACCGACACCAGCATATCCAGCTATGTTCACACCGCTGCCGCAGCTGACGTCCGAGACGTCCCCGGGCGCTTCTTCTCCTCCAGTGGTCCATATCAACCGTGAAATCCGCCGTTCCATCAAAGTCAATGAGGCATACAGCAAGGCCTTGGACAAGCACGGTCCCGTAGTTATCGTCCCTAGACATGGCCGCAACGAATATGTCATTGACCACCGCTACGCCCACGAGGTTCTTACCGACACCAAAAACTTTACCTTCGAAAAGGCAGTGTTCGAGATGCTTCATCTGGGATTCCTGGCACTTTGTGACAACGGCGCATTCGTCCACGACGTCGACAGTCTGGTGGAAAAGAATGTACAGCCCCGCATGAACGCCATTATAGAACAGATCTTCCCTATCTTCACGCATTACTTCGACCGGATGGCGGATGGTCTGCCCAATCCAGCCGTCGACAAGACGGCCGTCGAGTTTCCCGACATGTTCCATCGGATCCAGCTCGCTGTCGCGCACGCTATGGTCGTCATGATCCTCGGACAACCACACGCCTCCTCCACCGTAGCAGGCCATTTCGCCGCGGTAGCCGTGGCCATGGCCAACATGACGGGTATGCATGAGAACACTCACGAGTGGACTCGGCTCCCATGGCTGTGGGTGTTGGTCAATGGTTATTCCGCCGTCTTCCTCACGATCATCCCGAGGTTCTTCTTCCGTATCGTTCCTACGCTGTGGAAGGCCCGAAATGAGCATCTGAAGAATGGTCTCGCCGCCAAACACGGCGAATTTGTACCGCTCTTTGACATCCTGCTCACAAAACACTACCACGGCACGACCGGGCTGTTCGCGCTCGCGGGCTTCTTTCGCTGCGTCATTGTCTCCATCGGGGTCATCTTTGCGTCGATACACCAAACGGTCGTTGCCGGCCTCTGGATCCTCATTAAGCTCACACAGAAACAGGACGAGTATCTGCCCGCTCTCCGCGAGGAGTGGGAGCGGGTCAACCCGGCGGGCGAGTGTCTGAACGTCAAGAAACTCACCCAGCTCACGTTACTCGACTCCTTCATTCGCGAGGTCCTGCGAACCAAGGGCGACACATGGGGTCCTGTGCGACAGACCACTCAGCCGGTCCGTGTTGGGCCATACGTGCTGCCGAAAGACGCCCTGTGCATGGTGCTCATCTCCCGTGTGCACCAGCACCCTGACAACTACGGGACGGAGGGAACCGCGTTCAACGGCCTCCAATGGGCAGAGAAGGGCCGGCCGGCCGTCCAGGGAGCCCCCGACTTCCTGACATTTGGGCTGGGCAGATGGGCGTGTCCCGGACGGCAGCTCGCCATCCACGAGATCAAGGTCATCCTCTACATGATTTTTTCGAAGTTCGACATTAAGCTCAAGGGCGATAGGTACCGGGTGACGAATACAATTAACACAACATCGGTAGCCCCAGAAGCGACATTTATGTTGAAGAGGAGAGACGTGTGAATGTAGAGCTGGCTGTTTGATGAGGCTTTATCCTCCTGAAGATTCAGGATGGCGGAGTTTGCGCGCTGTTGATCGATCAAATGTCCGAGGATGCAGATCCTGATAGGAGTCCCGTTATCACCGAAGTGAGAAGCCTGGACAACGGCTGCAGTCGGAGTTGAACAACAGGGCGATCGAGTTTCGACACGAAAATAAGTATCATGTCAGTTACGAAGTTGAGGAAAGAAGTGAGCTGCTCATTCTCTCAGGGTAACAGGGGAAGGACAGCGTTGGGAAAGTGGAGGAGTTCTTTTCATGTTACGTGCGTTCATGAGAAGTAGAAATGCAGTTATCAGGTCTGGTGCAATAAGGGCAATTCTTGCTTTAGAAAACCTTGGTCTGCTCTGTCGTCTTCCAGTGGTAGTCATGGTTAATCTGAGAAGTCGTGGCTGAGGCAATCTCGCAATTCGCTATGCTTTCTTGTATGCTACAATTATATCATCGATGCAAACGCTCGGTGTAGTTGTGATTTAGCCAGATATGAGTACATTTCCAATTTCCACTATTAGAAGATAAAAAAGGTATGAATCAATGAATCTTGAGTTATCAATTATACGACCATCCCATACTCCATATGCATCCATAGTACACCAATGTCCTGTTCAACTCCAAGATGCAATAGTACAACACCTGAAAGAAAGTCGTTCAATGTCTGTGACATGGGCTCCCTCGTTGGACTTGTTCATCAATAGATCACCTCACGCTTTCCGGAATGGTTGATCTCTTTCGCAGCGATGACACAGTTGTGATTGATGTTGGAGCATTTCAGCGACTCCTGAGCGCCCATACATCCCGCCTCCTCCTCTTCCATAACCGCATGTTCGAGGGCTCTCCAGTCCAAACCAGCGACAGGCGGAGTGCCCTTCATCCACACCATATCGGACCACTGGGCAGCAGAGATCCTCCCAAATGTTTTCATGATAAGCGCCACAGTCTTCCACCCCACAAGCTTTTCCTCAGGGAGAAAGATATCGAGACGCTTCTCAGGCCAATCGCACAGGTATAGGTCGTTGTCTAAGCGGCTTTCGAGATAGGTGGGCGCGAAACCCGAGACCTTCTCTTTCACCTTCATCATGTTCCCTTTGACAGCGCAGGCTTCTGGCTTGATTCGCAGCGACAGCAGGAGAGAGCTGTCTGGGAGTCCAATCAAGTTTCCAAACTCCATATGCTCGAGGTCGATCTGCACGCTGAACTTCCAGAAGGTGTAGCGTCTTGTGGGATCGTTGATGATCTCGCGTAGGATCAAAGCGTTGTCGATGATATCGAAGATCACGTCAATGGAGGCGCCCTTTTGGTGGAGCTTGCACACTTGGTCTGGCTGGGATCCACGCAGCATGACCTGGACTTTTCTGTTCTTTCGAGGATAGGGCTGGCAGCCGCATTTAGGATCGTTGCTGTAGTGAGGAAGACGGTTAGAACGCGCGTGTATGCAAAGGAATCGAAGCTTCTCACCATCGAGGCATCTTGGATAGCTGGGTCAGATAGCTAAAGAGAAAGACGACTTGACTTGGAGGGTGAGGAGCATGGAGGATGGTTGTTATTCTGATAGTGAGGATCTTGAGGCATGGTGCTATCTAGCGTAGCCAGATCTCACTGCTTCAAGTGAGTAGTTCATGCTTCACTCACTGTGTGGAGACAGGAAAGAAGAGCTTCTGTTAATACTCTCAAGGAAGTTCCCGCTGAATACATTAGTGAAGTTGTGTTGGCCAGATTCACTTCATTTTGTTTGTCGACTAGAGACAGCTTTTGTCTGAACATCTCAGTGAAGAAGGATTGCACCAAAACTATCAATGAATGTGAACAGAATTAACCTGATCCTCACAGGAAGATGTAGAAGGCCAACCGGTTCCCAGTATATGACATTGGTACAAAGAACAGTAACAGGACCGCACTGGTACCTAAAAGATATAAAGGCCCAGAAATCGCTTTTCTACTTGCATACAAGATATCAGTGCTTTCTGTATTCCGGGAGAAGAAGAGCTCTACTCTATATCATTAAGCGGCCTACTTGCCAATACTTCTAGTTGGTCCTGCTGCTTTTCCAACCTAAAGAGCACTTTCCGCATAATACTCACTTGATTAAATTAGTGGCTGGGTACTTCCAGGGCAATATAACAATCTTGTTCCTCTTAACATCGATTCGAGATGATTGTTTCAGCTGATATTGTAATGTCTGATGCACCCCACGGACAAAAGCATGACAGAAATTATCATGCAAAATGCTACATGGAATAACGCATAGTCTGGAATACAACTTCAATCAATCTAATGTGATAGCAGAACGTCCACTGCTCAGGTTGTAGTGTGGTCTAGTTACAGCGGTGTGATTATATAATCACACCAAGCTCGGCGCAAAAGGTGCGGGTTGATGCGTCGCGGGATTCCAGCCATTCAAGAACCCACTCCATCTGAACCCGCGACACCGGACACTCATTCCGTGATCTTAAAGCTTCTATCCCCTGATCACAGCGCTTCTCTCGACCGCATATCACAGTCATGTCGGGTGAAATGGAAGTCGACCCCCCGGTCGCCCAAGAATCCGGAGGCGATGCCCTCGACCCACGAACAGAATCCGGAGCTGTCGCTGTGCGCAGTATCGAGGGGTGGATTGTGATCGCGACGAATATCCACGAGGAAGCATCCGAGGAGGACGTGACGGACTTGTTTGCAGAGTATGGAGAGATCAAGAACTTCAATCTGAACCTCGACCGTCGGACGGGTTACGTTAAGGTGGGTTGAGTTCACTTTGCGGTCTCACTCCCGTAGCGAGGTCCATGGGATCGCTAGGACTACGGTGACTCCTACAGGTGCTAATGAACTCATCGATAGGGATACGCATTGATCGAGTACTCGACTCTTCCTGAGGCTTCTGAAGCCATCAAAGCCTTGAACGGATCCAAGTTGCTTGACCAGACCATCCATGTGGACTTCGCATTCGTCCGCCCGCCTCCATCGAACAAAGGGAAGGGCAGTGGGGAACGAGGTGGCCGGGGTGGAAGAGGCCGCAGCCGGAGCCGCGATCGGAGTCGGAGCCCTGGAGCTGATGCTGAGCGGGATTAAGCCGCATTGCTCCATCGACTTCTTAGTCGGACGATTATTTTTATGTTTGTTATTGGATTCCTAATGATTACTCCGCTGGCACTGCGACGTCGGTCTTGGTCTGGGTTGTGATATGGTGCGCGCGTGAGGGAGGGTTTCTTACCTAGAAGGTACTATGGCTCGAGACGTGGCGGCCATTCGGGATGATAGCATATCCTAGATTGAGTATGCTGGTGGCCGGCAGTATCTCCATTGAACGAAGGGCCCAGGGAGATATATGCCGGCGTCATGATCTAAGAACAAGACGGTGAGTCTAGTTGGTTGTTGAGGCGCACAGACTGTACTGATTGATGTCCCAGATGACCTTTCGGGTTTTTAATTCGCCAAGTTTGATATCCAATTGTTGTCTGTTAGATTTAGGATATAATCCGCGTGACTGCGCACTGGACACAATAGCACAAAGGGCTCATTGCCTCTTTTTAGATCTTTGTATCTAATTCTATGCTTTTGCGGGGGAGAAGGATTCCTGTATCAGTCTGCTGACCTTCTCAAGGTCTTTGTACAAGTAATCCAGGCTATGATACGTGGGACTAGCGTCATGCACTGTCATCGGACCCTGATGCCATGCGCCGGGCACATCGCGTGAGACGCTAAAAGAGGCAGGATGATAGACGTCATGGGGGTGTTGCTGTGCCTGCCGAAAGCGTTGCGGTTGGAAGGAACAAACTTTTGCCTGCGGTTCCCCGCACTTCCTCCGATCGCAACTCAACCTCCTTCAACTTCTCCCCTCTCTTCCTCCATGCAGGACGCTGGCAGGACTCGGTTGTACAGCAGAACATGACAGATCCTTCTGCCGCTCTCGATTGGACATAGGACCATTCCTCGCGTGGTGTTATGTCTTCCTTGTCCTGTCCAATCTTCCGCATTCCTACCTAGATCGGCCCCATTCTTACTCGGACAGCGGTCCTGGAGGAGACCCTTTCTTATCTTTACCATTCTTGTGGACTAGACAGTGGCCGGTCTACTCGCCATCTGCTTGCGAAGAAGCCATGGCCACACTCCTATACATTTCTAGAATTCTGTTTATATTGTCCCTCCTATCGGCGACCAATGCGCTGGCGTTGCGGTCGCAGAATGTCCTGTCACCCTCGGTGCCCCAGGCACTACAGGTTTCTCTCAACGATGGGGCTGCGGTCCTCCCAGAACAATCCGCCTCCAATCCCTCCTTAGAGTCCGCAGAAGAGTCTGCAGATTTCAGCGACGATACCCTTCGTGACCTGCTGGATGCCCTGAATGTGATGCAGGACGAGTATTTCGAATTGTGGCAAGGCACCTGGCCCACATCCATCGACTGGACCGCTGCTGTTTTAGGGACTCATGTCTCTGCCACCCTTTCCTCGCTCAGCTCCACCTTCGACGACGTGCTGTCTTCAGACGTGTTACTAAAGACCGAAGAAGAAATCTCAGGAATTGGTGAACGGTTTCTCGCGTTTGAGAATCTCATCAACCGCTTCTTCTCCCAGACAACCGCATTCTACTTCGGGGAGAACGCCATCTCACTGAGAGGCCAGGCTTTCGATGACATGCTATGGGTGGTTTTGGGCTGGCTCGAGAGTATCAAGTTCCAAGTGCTACATTCGGACCTTCATTATGGTGACTTCTCATGGCCGAACACGACGACAAAACAATACTGGCATGGCTCCCAGCTGCAGGAGCCGGCTGCTCATCGAGCACGGTTATTCCATGGGCTTGCATCCGGTGGATGGGATGAGTCCCTCTGCGGTGGGGGGATGATCTGGAGCCCCTACCTGACGCCCTATAAGAATGCTATCACGAACGAGTTGTACATTGCTGCCAGCGTCGGTATGTATCTCTACTACCCGGGCGATATCATTGATTCGCCATTCATGCCGACGGGAATGAACGATGATAAATGGACCGATGGGTATCCTCACCACCCAGCCCACTTACAAGCCGCCATTGAGGGGTACAAGTGGCTGAATGCCTCTGGCATGACCGGAATCGGTGGTCTGTATGCTGATGGTTTCCACATTCGAGGATGGAAAGGGTCAGACAAGCCTGGAACGCGCAAATGCGATGTCCTCAACACAATGGTGTACACATATAACCAAGGAGTCATCTTGAGTGGCCTGCGAGGCCTCTGGCTGGCCACAGCATCGATGCAGTATCTACAAGACGGGCATCGCCTTGTTCGTCAAGTCATTGATGCTACTGGATGGCCCGATAGAACGAGTCGGAAATGGGCAGGCCTCGGCCGTGGAGGTGTCCTCGAGGAAATTTGTGACTCGACCGGAAGCTGCTCGCAGAACTCCCAGACCTTCAAGGGCATATTTTTCCACCACCTCACTGAATTCTGTCGCCCTATACACCCACAGGAGGCGCGGTTCCTGGCCAGTTCAAACCAGACGACTGAGGAACACAGTGAGTGGCAGGATACCTATGAATGGCATCAAGCACGGTGCGGTACATATCTGAAGTGGATTGAACATAATGCCAATGCGGCGCTTATGACCAGAGATGAAGACGGCAAGTTCGGAATGTGGTGGGGAAGGAAATACCGCCAGCTCGATAACGCTATCATGACCACGAGTCATCTCCCTCGCGGTGCGATTGACTACCGTAACTACGGCGATCAGGCGGAGGGATCTGAACCACTAGCAGGAATGCTGCGCGGTTTTGCATCTCAACTCACTGACGATCAGTCTGCGTCGTTTGAACATGAAAAGCCGGGACTTTCCTATCCGGGACGTACATATGAACAGACCCGCTTGACCAAGGTGCAAGACAACGGCCAGGTTCGAGAGAGTGACTACAATGACCGGGGTCGTGGGCGGACTGTAGAGACACAGTCCATGGGCGTGGCTGTCCTGCGAGCCTTGTACCAGTGGAAATACGCTTCTGGGTCTGCTATCGAACGAACGGCCTAGCGCTTGTACATATTCCATATTTTTACATTGGCGTTGATGGCGGGGAACTATATTTATTGGGCATGGACTTCGTTGCATTATTTTTTGGAATGAGACAAGATGACATTCTTACCAGTGCTTTGAACAGATCCTATCCAGCCCAAGAGGCTTCCTAACACGGTTGAGATAGCGACTCTGGCGCACGCTCTAGTATACTCCTAGCAGATGCAGTGAGAGTGGACTTGATTCCTCGGAGAAGGGCTTTGTAGCACAACATCACAAGATCTGCCCTGCCAAAGTCTCGCAACCGGCGCCAAAGAAAATCGGGAGGGAAACATGCTTGCATTGAACCCATTGAGGGAGTATACCCAACTCTCCATGCCTGCTGTCATACAAGAAACGCCTGGTTGTCTTTCAATGATACCGAATAACCCCGACAACCCCATACATCATAGCATGATCCTACTCAGAGATTGGAATAGTGCATATTTGCCATCATGGTACATGACATGATCTGCATCAGACGGCATTCCGGAAGCAAGCCCGCCTCCCGACGCAAGGACTGAAGAAAAGAGGGATGAATCAAAAGATCTTCGGGATTGGGATCCGTCCAGTATTGTGCTTCTTTTTTCTGCGGCCGAAGCACGGAAGCCGGAAGTAGGGAGTCGTATCCCTACCCGACGCTGGTTTGCGGGGGGTTCTAAGGCGAATTGAGCAAGTGAAGGTCAAGCCAGAGACTCTAGTAGCATAATGCATGCACATACCGTTTTCGTCAATCGTGCTGCACCCGTAGTTTGGAGAGATATGATAGCATGTACAACAGGGCGCCAATTCTTGAACTACGGAGTACGAAGTACTGTTCTCATTTCCCAGGCCAGTCAAGTCAAGCGACGATGGGATGACGTGGTCAGGTAGAACACATCGTGGCAGAGGGGACCACCCCGCGTGAGGTGCCCAGGTTGATCAATGGCCAGTACAGTTGATATGCAAGACCGTGCCCTGAGCTGTGTTGCAACTAGCAGCTTGTTACTACAATCTCTAACATATAATTGCCGCGTGCAGCACATCCGCCGTTGTAGGATGCGCCTTGCCAAAGCAAGGAAACGGGTCTCAACTCGAGCACGGGGACAGTACTAGAAACCCACTAGAAGATGTTGTGGCTAGTCATTCGACGCTGATCGCGTACTGTAATCTTTTCCTCTGGCCGGCCGAAACAAGACTCGCAGAACGCGAGGCATGTTCAGACCGCGATGCAACAAGAGGGACCCCCTCCTCCGCCAAGCAGCGCCCACCCCAGTCGCCGTCCGCCAGGAGGGCCCTGAAATCCAGGGTGCCGCAGCCACATGCAGCTAGTGTGGAGGTCTTTCAACCTGATCGCGGTTGGGGCTTTGAGCAGTGGAGAGTTTAATCTTATGTGGCCTGTTGCCTGTTGCGCATTCAATTCTTGAGATCTGCTCTTGCGATGACAGTAGTACTCTGTATATTAAGGAATGTCATCATGAGCAAGGACGTAAGTCGTATTCACAAGAGCCGTGAGGACTTTGTAATACGACGAGACGAGAAAAAGGCGGAGGCAATCAGCCGGGACGGAAGGATGGCCGGTGGACAAAGAGACGAGCTACTCCGTAGTTAACTCGTCGAGTTGCGTTCCAACTGATCGACAGTCGTCTATCGTCATCCACCAGGGCAGGGATCCGATGGTCTTGTGGAATGCCGCGCTAAGCAGTTCTGGTAATTTCTGGAGTCCAACGACAAGAGGGTGAATCAGCCTTGTCTCTTTGTTCGAGGGCGTCTGAGTTTCGGCGGACTCTCTATCCTCTGTCGATACCGGCTGTTGTTTTTCGAAGCCTTCCCGAACCGTAGTATAACAGACCCTGAGGAGACATTATTCATATTGCCTGTTCCTACGAGGACGACCGTGGATCGAAAAAGAATGGAACGCAGTGGAGACTTGGAGGAGAACAGTCACGAGGATGGGCCGAACCACTCGGTACCGTTACGAAGTACCGTCAGGTAATGCAGGTAATGGAAAGTTTCCATTCTCTTACCGTACGGGGAACAGGAACATCCACCTGCAGTTGCTTTCCAGAACAGTTCATTCTTCTTCTTGACTCTACATGATTCTCTACTGTGCTACCGACGAAGACTGATTCGGCGCGATGCACTCGTCCTTAAACCTACCTACCTACCTCCCTACCCTACCAGACGTCGGTGAAAGAAAGTGGTACGGTCAAACACAAGGCTCCCTTGACCTGACCGCCATATCACACGGCAAACCGCCTAAAACGAACCTAGCTCACCAGGATGGAGTCACGACCGTGGGACCGGTTTCCCTAAGCCTTTCCTCCACCTGCCGTCGTGTCCATCCGATGGAGATTCGGGTCGTGTCATTATTTGCACGGCCGGCGCCCGCCTGTTGACAACTGTCCCTCAGGCGAAGCGTTCACCCAGGTCACAAGCGCATCCCTCCCTCTCACACTGCTCACTCTCGCGGTGGAGGAAAACTGCATGCGACCCAGCGCGCGCCGATGCGGGGGGCCAGGAACACATTCGACTGGCTCCGGGCGGTTCAGCGTTGCTCAACCCTCGCTCGGCTGGGACAATGATTTCTCTACGGAGTAGTTAGTTACGTGGAGGATGTTGGGAGGTTGTTCGGGGTTCGCAGAACGCTTGTATTAATAATGACAATCATGCTTAGGCTCTGTGCGAACCCTCGCATTGTGACCGCTTCGGCCGATGGCGTTTTGTTCATCAGACTCATCAGAACTGGAAAGGTGCGCAGACGCATCTTCCCTCCTAGCCTCGGGACATCGCCGCCGGAATCTGGGGCCGTTGGGCTTAAGAGATGCAAATAAGATGCGCCTTACTGCGGTGGGATGGGGGCGTCCTCCGTCTGTCTCGCTCGCGCGCGCGTGTCAGTATGCACTGCGCTGGGTTATGTGGGCGTACGGATAAAAACAATAAAATGACGTCGATGGAAGCCAAGCCTGAACAGGAATAGCACTCCTACGGCCAGTCTGCCAATCACCGAGCCCCGTATGACGTGCTCGCCCATCATGGGACGCGGATTAGGGACTCCGTGGAACTTTCTCAGTAAGGGGATGGCAGATTGCGGGTAGAGAAAGAGTGGACTCTACGGAGTAAACACTACTGCTGTTCTCTTCCCCGAAGGTCTATCCATTGTCGGGCATTTCTTTGCTCCCTCATTTGGCTTGGTGAGCTCGCCTTCCCACTCTCCTGGGTCGGTGGTTATTGGGTTGGCTGCTCGGGGGCCTTGTGTACACAGCATTTCTGCAGAGCGTGACACTGATGAAGTCAGGATGCAATTCCAACCCCAAACGGGAGAAAATCTTATGGATACGGAGTAGATGGACAATGGCCATCATCAGTACACCCTAAGGTCATCACAGATGTACAGAGTTCCTGATTGTTGGTACCTATGATCTCCCGAAGCTCTCCAAACCCTTGCCATTCGCCTCCCTCGCTACACGCGGCGGCGCCCAGCAGTACGGCGACCCCCGTCCCGGGCGACAACGCCCAGAGAAAAGGGAGAAGGAAAAGAAATCATCACGAGAAGTGATCCTCCACTGGCCAATCTGATTCGGTATCGCCCCCGATAGAGAGGTGCTGACGGGATCGGCAGACTGCACATCCCTTCCGGTTTCACCTTTTGCGCGGTCGTCGCTTCAACACCATGACCCGTCAGAAGTCGGTCGAACCCACGGGAATGGATCGTCCTGTCGCCCCCTTCAGCCTTCAGGCCGTTTTCACTCGTGGACCCATACGCGAAAAGTCCACTGACGGTCATGCTCCGCCCTCCGTATGGGCGACGATAGATACCCTTCTACCCTTGGGTACAGTAGTCTTGACGACGGGGCCTCCTGCCCCTCCCTCGTCCGATGTACAACTGTCCATCAGGAGTAGCGCTGATAAAGAAGCAGTAGTGCAGGTTGGTTATTGGTCGCTGGTTTACGAGAGACTCTAAGACCGCCTGGGATGGGGCTGGTTGCATGGTGTGACAATATGACAAGAGAATAATCCATCGACGGTTTTCGTTCGGAGACTTAAAAGTGACCGTGATTGAAAAAGACTCGACTTGTAGACTAAATCCTCAGGATATTGCGGATCGATCGACGTTGCATGACCTTGTCTGCTAGGAAGTCGCCTCATGAGACAGAGGCGTCATTGTGGAAAACAGCATTACCCTCGCCGCCCGTTCTATGTATGTATGTATGTATGTATGTAGCGGAGTGGCGGCGGCAGTGAACACCTTATCTCTCCCTGGGTGATCTCATCGGACAGAACGGCCCCTGCGCTGCACTGCTTGCACTCTTGCGCTGCTTACCCCATAGCCCCCCTACAGAGCTGCGCTTTTCCCTCGTGGCACCGCGATGGTCAATCATCGAAGAGAACGGAGCGTATCCAACTGCGACCCGGAGGATTCGGACAGGGCGCCGGATGAAACTATGAAGTCATTTCGCTTAGTTTCATAGGAGGCTTAAATGGCGCGTAGAGGCGATCTCAAGACGCTCGATCGGGAATCGTGGCGAAAACCGACGTCAGAAGTGACTATCGTAGAGGCTGTACTCCTATAGCCCGTCCGAAGCATCTTTCTGGTATGAGAGGCGGGAGCGAGGGGGAGTAATCCACCGGTACCTGGGTATCACCCGGACAGGTACCGAAATTACGGACGCGGTACTCCGTACCTCTGTCTCTCTGGGTGGGCACTTGGATCCTCACACTAGTGTTAGATGATGAGGATCATCCTCCATTCCACCGAGGAAGACCTCCTGTTGGCGGTTTTGGGCCCCCTCCTCACGAAGATGGGGGAGTTCCTCCAGCGGGAACGGACGAACCAGGGGTTGTTACAACCACCTAGTAAAGAAAAAGAACGAAAAAGTTTCCCCCGCCATACCAGAACAGGCTTGCTTCACCGAAACATTGCTCAGAGCGAGGAGGAATTTTTGGTATTTGAGACTAACCTAGAAGGATAGTGGCGGCCACGAGTTTGGAGAGCCACCCAACTTTCTTCGCAGCCCACGGATGGTATCCTAGAGGATTCTGATATACGGAATATATTGTTTTCCCAGCTGGATTGGAAAAGGGACATGTTGCATATGTATGTTTACCTATAGAGTGATATTGGTTTGAAAAATCATCATCATCATCCATCCCCATATCAACCGTTATTATACATCAGTCTTCATCATCATCAAGACCTCCACTACAGTCATTCTCACCCATCAGCTATCACGATCACTGGCAGACTGTATTCTATGTACCTACTCCATTCCTGTTACGAAATCACCAACCAACGAGGATCCCCTTTCTTTTTGTCTTCTTTCAGAAGTGGATTCCTCTTCCTTTTTTTTCCCCCCCCCCCCTCTGTGGGTGGTGGTTTTGACTTTACCATGGTACCAACCGCCTTCTTTTTTGTTTCGCGTATTGTCATTACCCCAACTCAACTTACACTCTCTCTAGACGGACGGACGTACGACAACTGACTGTCAATCCTCTCCCTACTGAACTGAACGGTGACCGACTCTTTCTCTCCCTGCTCCTTCTTCTTTTCCTTCTTTTCTTCTTCTCTTCCTCTCCTCTGGTGGCTTCTTGGAATCCCTCCAACCGTTGTGTTCTAACTCGTCCTGTCTCTTTTCGGACTCTATCTTCCATTGTTGACACCTCACCCTCAACCGCGCCTTTCTTTCCCGCTGGTATTATTTCTTCTGCCCGTTTTCGGCCGGTTCGAACAGCTCGTCTGCCACCCTAAGCTTTTTTTCTTGTCGAACTTCTTCCGAAATCAACAACATTGCAACGCCCAATACAACCCAGGGGGTTAGAAAAAAAGAAGAACAGGCAAAAAAGAAAAGAAGCGAATTCTTTGAAGAACACCCTTTCATCAACCGACGTCACTTCCAGGCACAGTTTTCTGGCTACATTCTTGGAGAAATTGCTTTGTCCTCCGAACCCGTACTATCGGTTGCCTTCCCAACTTCGCTTAACCGACACGCCTTTCCTTCCCCCCCGAACTCTTCTCCATCTGTCGCTTGCCGACCTTCTCTCGACGACTTGGCCACCCCCAATCTCTTCACCGTCCCTCAAGTGTTCCCTCCCCTGAGTGGCTTGCGGACTTATTCTACTGTATTTTATCCCTAAACTCGGTTACTGGGATTTTCTGTCTCCCACCCCCCTCCTCTTTCCGACTGGATCGGTTTTGGACCCTCATCAAAACCGCCCCTCTCCCTCGTCGTCAACCTCTTCGTCGCCTATCTGGCAGCTACCTCCAATAATGAACAGATTCGCTATTTCGCAGTTTGTCCGCTAGCAGTTACTTGCCCTGAGTAGCGTGCTCGATTCGCATCAGAGAAGACGCTTCTTGCCGTACCAGGCAATTTCGCACGGCATGGCTCCCTAATTTCACTCCAGGCCCCGCCGAAACCATAGAACCCGCCAAACCCAACCACAACGCCACCACCAGAAAAAAGAATATGGCGTCGACGTCAGACATGCATGGCTCGTCTCCTGTTCCCACTCTGCCGCAGCCCAACGACAACGGTCGCACTCATATATCTTCCCTCTCTTCCTCGTCCTCCATTTCGGACGCAGAAACCGAGAAGCGCGGTCGCTCTGAACGTCCTCGAATGGCTAGCCGGAAGCCAAGCGCCTCGATACTAGTCCCCAGAGACCATCCTGAAATCGAAATCGAAGAGGAGGAATTCCCCCCAGACGATGCGCGCGCGATGAGTCCCCGACGGAACTCGGCCGACTTGGAGCGCCTTGGGAAGGAGGCCCGACAGACCTTGCAGGAGTAAGTGAATTTTCATCCCCTAGCCTCTTGGGCGATTCTAACCATTCACATAGACAAGCCAAAGCCCTCCAGTCCTCCCTCCAAGCGCTCGCGGAACGTATCGACGCTGTCAAATCCGACCATGATAAGCTAGAAAGCGAAAACAAATTTCTGCAAGATTACATCGGTGGTCTCACCCGGAACATGACCAAGAGCGAAATGACCAGAACAAGCACCAAAGTCAAAAAATCCCATAAATAGACGCGTTCTCTCGTCGCCTCGTCGAATGTCGACGCCTGGAAGGTCGGCATTCCACCGCTCCATAACAGCGTACGAAAGCGACAACTCCCACCTCCTATACGCTTCTCCCGATCGGCGATGATCTCGTCGTGATTCTTTCCTCTACGGACGGTCGGCTGTCACTGTCTTCGCCAACAACCCTTTGACACATCGCCTTTTATCATGATCACATGAGTCGCGATCCCGGCTTGGCTTGTGGTGCACCCGTTTCGTTGGCATCACTATGCTCATTCGAAGACCGATTTGCCGTACTCTCCGCTTGATCTCCCTCACCCGTCGACAACATGTGACCAAAGCCCGATCGAGTTCAACCTCCGCGACGAAATCGACACGAACCACGCCCTATCGGTCGGACGAATTTCTATCACGTGCATGTCTTTCTCTCGTTGACCCGCCCTAGAACCGGGGCTTGAACTCCGGTGGCATGATTTATACCGCGTGTGTTACACAGCGTGATTATCAGCCTCGCTGGCCATCCGGTGACCAATACCAGTGGCCAAATCTCTTTCTTTACTCGTGATGTCTCGTGCAGAGACCTCGGGATACCGCCCATCTTCTTCTGTTCATATTAATCTTCACTTTACTGTGGCATGTCTTGGACGTGCTACCATCATCGTCATGCTTAACTGGAGGCACCCTGTATTTGTGGCATAGCACGCTCGGCGTTCGGACCTGGGTCATTTTCCTTTTTTCTGCGCAATCGCCTACTTAGACTTGTTGTTTTGATTGACAGGAACCGCACTGGGCGCATTTGTTCTTACGGTTTGCCAAAAATTCCGTTCTATTTTCTCTTTCCCCTTATGGTTGAAGGGTTGGGGAAAACCCTCGGCATTTGCCTTTTGATTCGATTCTTGATCGTGTACATTGGAATCGTCCCGGTCTGACGATTCGGTTTGCCTTTTCTTTTCCATTTTTCCTTTGGCTCTGAAGACATTTGCCTGAATACCCAGAAGCGCGCGGTTTGATACATTCAATATCATCATTTATACGTGATCTAGCTGTAGTATTCTTACTCGTACCTAATCTCAAACGCGCTCTTGTTCCTTCCACCATGTATTGTTGGCCTTGCCCTATATGAACTCCACCAGCAGAAGAAATGAGCCAAGAACAGTTGACAGATGGACGGTGGTTGATGATACGGAGGCTGCAGTTAACACGAAGCTTTTCGGCGGTGTGATCCCAAGTTCCCCGTCCACGGCTCAGGGATACGGGGAAAAGCACTCCATGTGCATACCGGGGTTGCTCGGTATGTTCGAGGTTGACATCAGACCTGGCTCTGCAATGCACGATGAGCCTCTGCTCGCGCGCGCCGCATACGTCATGTTTCAGGTTTATCCCTTGAGGCTGAGCTGGTTGGTTGAGCCGCCGCGTTGCTGCTCTGTCTATAATTGGATTCGCACAGGGTTCTCTGGGATCCCTGAATCAGCCATTTTGTCTCAGAGCTACCGGATATGCTGATCCTCGGGATGGAAGGGTCGATCCATCCCGGTTCCCTGCCAGAGATGACTCTGTGGATTAGACGCACCAACTCTGTTAGGAGGGTGTCTGCCAGTAGACTTATATCTAATGAATCTATAAACGGTTCTAATATTCGCGTCTGGTGGTTCGCGTTGTGACCTGCGATCTATTATCTGGTAGAAGCATAATTAGACCGATGATTCCTCGTTTGGTTTGCTGCTTTGCTCTGTGAAACGACTTCGCAGGGATTCAGCTCTCCCTGCCTCCAGTCGGTCTCGACAAGGACCCCTTCCCACGCAGATCTCTATGATGCATCAACAGCCCATCGCGCTCATTGATCCTACAAGGCAACGTGATTGGGTTCCAATTTCTTGATAGCCTGTGCCGGACTTTAGATCTAAACTCAAGCTAAGGCGGACAATCAAACGCCGTGCGGGGCCAAATCAAAACGATTCGTGACAGGTAGTCCAGGCCTTGGGAGAAAGAAATTCACCGATGGGGGAGAGCGAGTATGTTGACGAAGAGAAAAGGGAAAGGTATTCTTTGGGTAATTGAGCAGATAGACAAATGTGGAATAGAGAAATAACACGAGGAGAAAATCCAACGAGAAACGAGGTTGGCCCAGACATGGAGAGTCCACTAACATCAGCAGGCCCGAACCGCTTCCAGAGCCCCGCAGTCATCGAAGAAAGGACCGAAAGGGTTCCTAGCGCTCCATTGTCGAATCTCCCGCCATGAGCCGTGGAATCAAGGGATCCAGCCCTTGGTGGGCATGATTCAACGACGTGACGCCTCCGAACCTATTCACCTTCTCTGAATGATGGCTCTTTCGCGGATAGACAAGCCTGTCGCCTAGTGTACCCCAACCCAGTCCGACCGCAGATCTTTTTATCATCTCGTATTTACTCGGCGGGCTTGTCAGCCTCAGCAGCGGGGGCCTCCTCCTTCTTCTCAGCCGCGGGAGCATTCGACTCAGCGGCAGGCTCGGCCTCAGAGGAGGTCCAGAGCGTCTAAATTGCATTAGAACGAGGAGTTGACGAATCAGGGGGGCGAGGATCTTACCAGGTTGTCTCTGAGAAGCTGCATGATCAGGGTCGAGTCCTTGTAGCTCTCCTCGCTCAGAGTATCAAGCTCTGCATTTCGTGTTAGTTTCAAAGTGTCCGGTGTTTCGGTCCGAATGACCCATGGCCTCTCAAGAGATACATACCAGCAATAGCATCGTCGAAAGCAAGCTTGGCCAGGTGGCAAGCCTGGTCGGGGGAGTTGAGAATCTCGTAGTAGAAGACAGAGAAGTTGAGAGCCAGACCCAGGCGGATGGGGTGGGTAGGGGCGAGGTCGGTCTGAGCAACTTCGGTAGCGGCCTTGTAAGCCTCGAGGGAGGCATCGGCAGCACCCTTGCGGCGGTCGCCGACGGCGAACTCAGCCAGGTACCGGTGGTAGTCACCCTTCCTGCGCGACGAAACAAATACGGTTAATATCATGACATCTGTGAGATTACGCGAGTCGGCGCGACATACATCTTGTGGTAGAACACCTTGGACTCGCCGCTCTGGGCGGAGGGGATCAAGTGCTTGTCGAGAACCTCGAGGATATCATCGCAGATCTTGGCAAGCTCGGACTCGATCTTTTGACGGTACTCCTTGATGAGAGCGACCTGAGACTCGTTGCCCTTGGACTCTTCCTTCTGCTCGATCGAGGTGACAATTCTCCACGACGCACGGCGGGCACCAATGACGTTCTTGTAGGCAACGGAGAGGAGATTCCGCTCCTCAACGGTGAGTTCAACATCGGCGGAGGCGACGACCTTCATGTTCTCGACCATTTCTGAAGAAATATCGCGTCAACCAGACGGATCGAGCGATAGGGTGGAAGAAGGGAAAGACAAACCTTCGTAGCGCTCAGCCTGTTCGGCCAGCTTGGCGAGGTAAACGGCATCTTCGTGACCCATGGTGAAAGGTGTCTAAAACGAAACGAATGGATGTTAGCCAGGAACACTGAATGATTTGAATATGCAGTTCGTGTCATGAAAGTGTGGGCGTTTGGTGTAACCGCCAGACGGTCCCGAGATAAAGAAACTGCGAAGCCGGGGATCCCGATGTGTGATGAAGCGAGGGGTAGTCGCGATGAGGCTGAGAAGTCGGGCGGTGCACCAGACACACCATCCCCCTCGTGTGTTCTCCCCTTTGTTCCCGTGTTTATGATCACCATGGGACAATAGTAATACTAAAAACCAAAGGAAAACTCTGGGATCGATAAAATAGACCGATCGAGCGACATTCGCGTGATTCCAACCGATCCATGATGATCTCGCCCCATGGGAGCCTCGGCGACGGGTCGGGTGAGTTTGTTGATGGGAAAGTGGGAAAGATTGTCGACCTGCCCATTCTACAACTCGGGATAGC